ACCATTACAATTTACATTTTACTTAATGTAAGTAAATAATAAAAAGGGAAATCCTAGTTGACAATTGAAATTGTCATACACATAGGTTACCTAAAATAAGGAGGCCTATTATAAATGGATCATGATCCTAAGTCTCAGGGTATTTTCCTCTACCCACACTTCTTGAGCTATTCTCTGTAATATTAAAAATAATAGGGTGAGTATAATTACTCAATAACAAGGTCCGACTAGCCTATACTAATGCATATCAATTAGTTTAAATGCAAGTGGCAGTTAGTATTAATACTTTAACCCATGTGAGACAATTGAAATTAGCAATTCACAATTCAACTCACATAATAGCATCTACTTGGAAAATAATGCTTTTATCACTTTTTATATAAATAGAGTTGATCACGCAAATCATTGACAAGTATAATAGCAGAAATCAATACTCAACTTAAAATGTCATCATTATGGACTCAATATAGACAACAAGTGCCTTTACTCACTATATGCATGATCACACCTCCCCCGTATCCTTCTTATTCCTCTGACACGAAACCGTGGGCTATAACTCAATGGGATAGTCTATATTCTTTGACTTCTCTAGTCTAAACACTTGTGAGGAGATTACCCAGCCAAGGCGTACCCAACTTACTTATGGATCATGGTTTCTCCTATTTTTCATATTATGAGGTGTCATACACCCAAGACTAGCTTCTTCATTGAACCGGTGGATAGCTAGTTAGGTTCAAGTTCCTCTTTAAACTAATAAGACAGTTCCTCGTTGAACAAGTGGAACAATATGGATAGAATCAATCCAAGCACACCATCACATGGATGGGACCTTACCATGTGAATTTTATCATCTACTCTGCTTCCTAAGCAAACTCTCGCCTTTCAAGATCATGCAATGCACATTCACACTATAGTTCATACATATACAATTCATAGAACTTCACATTATCAATTTTCATTGAACTTCATCATTACACAATTATTGGACTTCTCAAACACATTTCATGGAACTTCAAAACCAAACAAGTCGTTAAACTTTCAATTCACAATCATTATACCTCACACTTTTAAAATCATTGAACTTTCCTATTTTAAAACATCATTGAACTTCTCTTGAACAAAGACTCATTTTACCCTTCAATTTGCAAAATCATTAAACTATCAATGAACATTAATATGAAAATCCATCACTATTATTCTCAAGGAAAATTTTGCATCACAAGGAATAAAACTTACAAATTTGGTCTAGTGGATTTCTTCACAATTTAAGCCATACTTGCATTTCTTTTTATTTTATACAATCCAATGATAAATCATAAGTCAATAAACTAATACATACATACAAGTATAAAATAAAATTTCCTCAGTTACCTCAAACTTTTGAGAGGTTAAAGGTTTCACCCCTTAACTATTCACTCCCGAAGCTTCCAAGAAGCTTGAATGGTGCCAATGGTAGTTACACTATAAGCATTTACCATGCAAAACATCAATATCCATTAGAGCTATTTTTCACTAATATTTCATTATTTCTTAATACTCAAGATTTATTCTAGACTTATGTAGAAGTACTCATAAGGCTTCTTAGCTTCTTTTAACTCTTATTAATAACATTGAGCTCTTAAATGGGCAATAATGAAGCCACATTATTCCCAACCACCAAACTTATGGAAATTTCTGACATTTAATGTCTTTCAACCATCAATTATCATAAAATCATAAACATCAAGTTTACTTAGCTCAATCTACTCACATTAACTCTATTTAAGCCAATGGTTTTGGGCCCATAATTTTTATAGACCAAAAATCACCATTATGAATTAAACTCTAATCTCTACCATTAAGAAAATGGAAGAAGAGAGGAGATTTAAGTAAGAAAGTTTACCTTTAGTGTTTATAAGTTCTAATTTACTCCCAATAATAATTTTTTCAAGCTCTAGCTCAGCTTTTTTCGCCACTCTCTTGTTTTCTTTTATTTTCTCTTTTTTTTTTCACTTCATATTCACGATTTAATACTACAAAAATTTGACCATGTGCCACAGCGGACGCACAATACATTACGGCACATGGCACTGAGAGCCTCTTCTAGGCATGTTGCCATGCATGCGCCACGGCAGACCAACCATAAACTACGACGCGTGGCACAAAATTGCCTTCGTTCTTATTTACTGCAAATAATCCAACTAAAATTGGAAAAATAAAAGAAATAAGTTTAAGGAAATCTATGAAGTGAAAACCGATTAATACAACACAGAAACATAACAAAGGGATACCTCATTACACCCTGAGTCTTCTACATTCAATTTGTCCACATAGGTGACATGAATGATAATGATAATTTCAAGATTCAAAATATGAGCATAGTAAAAATCTTCTGCTCGTTACAATGGGCAAATTTTTCCAAGTTCTTGCAATTCATCTTTATCAAAATGGTTATATTGCATTATAAAATTACGGCAACTCAAGTAGCTCATATAGCATAGCTACATAAGAGCTATATGAAAGTTGCCGTGCAAGACAAGTGGTCAAGCACCAGGTTCCATTGCAATGAGCTACTATAGTGCTATTAATAACTATGCCTGAAATGAAAATACGTTACTAATATGCAACTTCAATTTTCTCTTTTCTTTCAACTTTTATTTTAAAAGATACATAAAAAATACATAACCAATAGCATTATAAGTATCGAATTGTGTACAATGACATCACCAGTCTACTATAGCTCCTTCACCAATAATGAACATTTTATTATTAGATTAATTTTACAAAATACACATGGGCTGTTTGATGGCAGCATTTCCATTTTACAGCAACTATAGAACCAAAGCAAAAGCTTTTGAGATTATCAAAGTAATACAAAAAGAGAATTAGGCCTACATTTGTTTAACAGATCTTCTACAGGAGTGAGGCTGCAATTCATTTCTTCAATCAATTTGATCCATAGTTAGCGCTCCACCTAGTGCAAGTCTTCAATTATTGGTACCTATCAAATATAAATTTACTCAAATCACAAAACTAGTTCAATTAAATCAAGTCAGACATGTATAAAGAAAAATATAAAAGGGAATGGCACGTGTAGATATGTCAATACAAAGGCAATCGACAGAAAATTGGAAATTACTGTCATGCATATATCCATTGCCACTAAACCAAGCCAGTCATCAAGAATCAATTACACGTTTTATCTTCACATCTTAAAAACACCAAGGCTAAAAATTTTGAATGCAGTCAAATCAATTATAAAATAGTTTGGTAAAAAAAATCAATTATAAAATAGTCCCCCCAATCCTTAGTTGAGTGAGGTACTTAAATTATCAATATTATTTGAAAAAGAAAAAAATTTCTTAATTTATCCTTATTACCGCATCATCTTTAAAATCACGTTGTTTCTCATACAGAACCTTTTAATCTACTCAGAGAAAATTACAAAAGGATAAAATTAGAAGAGAGTAATAAATAATCCTCATTTTTTTAAACAAAGAATGATCCATAAAAAGGATCATCAATTACATCTAGAGAGTGACTTATGACTGTAAGTGGAGGGAGTAGTTTGTTATTGAAATTAATAGACAGTAAAGGTACGGCCTAGATGTTATGGACCCAAACATTTCTATCAAAATATGCTGGCCTTCAACAATTTACTATATTTTAGCAAATTACATCTTCAATACCTTTCCTCTGTTCAAAATTGAGCACCCTTATAAAACCCTTTCAAAATCCTTTCTTCCATAAAATAAGATGACAAATATTTTTTTCCCCTTTCCTTTTTTGAATACAATGGGAAGGCAAAAGGCTAAAAGAAACCAAAAGATCAAAGGTCAGGGCCATAATGGCCCTACTACATATCAAGACGGAGTAAAATCTTGCGGTCTTCCAGCGGCTCAAACTTGATCATGTATTCATTATCTACATTAGGAGGGGAAAAACTGACAAATCTTCAGTGAAAAGCAATGAGCTCACTCAAAATACTATTGGATATCCTGTATACTCTTCTCAGGAAAGAAGTCGACGGAGCTTTTCTGATGATCGAAGCGCCGAGCGAACAGAGGGCGAGAGCATGAGCGACTGGCAGAGTGAGGGATGAGACTTGAGAGGGAAGCCGCGAGGCAATACTTGCAGCGCCACATAGGCACGAAATGACGACGTGTCCCCGCCTTTTCGGTTCAACCGATTTATTATTACTCATTGCAAAGCAGTTTTAACTGCCAATTTTAATACTATTAAAATAATTTTAAATATAATTGATTTTATTTTTGTGACATTAAAAGTTAGACAAAACCATAATATTATAAAAATATATTTAAATATCCCTTTATGAATCCAAAATCATTATTTAAAAAAAATGAATGCATCCTTTAAGATTAAATTTCATGTAAGTTTACATTTTTAAAAATGAGAGAGAAGATTTTATGTCTTATAGAAAAATGAGAGAAAATACCAAAAAAAAAAAGAAAAACTTCACACAAATTCATTAATATCAATTTTAGAGGATGTAAATCCTTCTTAAAAACATATAACACCCATCATACATACTAAAATCAATTATGAATAAAAACTCGTGGTTTCTTTAATATCCAAACAATCCTTTGCATAAAAATCAATAACCTATAATAAATATGACTTCATTCTGTCCTTGTTTATGCTTTTTTTTTTGAATTAAAAGAAAAGGTACTAATAATTTGAGTTTACAAGTGAGACTGAATGCACAACGTCTCATTTACCAAAAAAAACTTCCATGCTACTAGGTTAAAAGGCCATTGGCATCATTTATGCTTGATAGAAGCTTTTTTTCACCACCTATTTATTCCAACTTGACAGAGGTGGTTAAAAAGTTCAAAGTTGAGAAGGAAAACATCAGCACAACAAAATTCTTTCTGGAATTAAAAAAAAAAAAATCTTTCTTTCTGGGTCTAGAGAAGTCACTCCAAATCTTCTTCGAGCACATTCCTTCACGTTACGCCAGAGGCCTTATAAGACAATATTGCATAACCGTACACTACAGATACAGAAAACACTTGAATCCAAATAACATATTGTCATCACAAACATTTAGTCCGCATCATTTGCAATGGTTTGAGGAAATGAGTATCATAACAAAAGAGCTATCAATAGATGACAAGGTCAATTAGTCACTGTGATTGCTTCCTTTTTATTACATATTGTCTTACTCAAGCATTTCTCTTTCTCCCTCTGATCATATCACCTCCCTTTCCAGCACTTGAACCTCCCAAGCAGAACCTATTCGCCAATGGAAAAACTTGATTTACTTTTTACCACAAATAACATTAAAAAAATGTGTATCCTTTCAAGACAATCTTAAAGCATACAGATCAAAGTACTATCAGTTTATCACTTTGCATATGTTATCTCCAGCAAAGCCTTTGAATGACAATACCTGTATCTGAAGGACCATCCCTGTTGTCACCGAAGTTTGATGGCATAGGGTTTGGGTTTGCTATGGTGTTCTGGCATTTAGCTTCCATTGTCAGCATCTTCAAGGATATTTTCCGACGATAATCAGACTGAAATTAGGAAACGCATGAGATGCAAGAAATCATGGCAATCCATGATATTGTACAAGACAAAATATCATAATTCATCTCCTTAGAACTGTGATGACTCTACCTGACTTGTTGCTGCATTATAAACCTTCTCCTCAAATCTTGCAGCAATTTTACGAAGTTCATCTAATCCATCTTGGCCAGAAACAGGAAGATGTCTTCCTAATGTTTCCAATCTATAAGGTGAATAACACCAGTTTAATTACTATAACTCATAGGGAAGCATATAGCATCAGACAGTCCTCCAAATAACAAGCATGATCACAAGGCACCGTTCATGCCCTTCACATTTTCCAAAAGAAACTAGATATTACGCCATGCGATGGACAGGGCATTAATTCTCTCCTTGATTTGAGAGAAATGAATGTGAATAGAATGGAGATGTTTTAATGACTTCGATTAAAGGGAAAAAAAAAAAGAATAGACATAAGTGCTATAAAATTTTAAATGAATTTTTTTTTTAAAAAATTTGCATTACATCTTCTCTCATAGTTAATGAGTTAAAATTAGGGTAATATTATAAAAATATAATTAATACCTCATCAAGTACCTTATGCTAAGAACCAACAAATTCTTCTAAAAGGAGCCCCATAATAGGGATCAAAGTCAGCGTAAAATAAGGGTATAGCTGAAAAAAAAAAAAAATATACTAAAGCTTTAATTTTCAGATCAAGTAACCCTTTAAAAAATGCCATATATATAGTTCGGGAGGGATACATATTAAAAAATTTTGTATGTTTATTTCTTTAGTATGGCCCACATGACCCACACCTACATATTTTTAATGTAGACCCCAAAACTCCCAGTTCTCCTAACTATGTAAATTTTTTTAAAAAAAAATGTCAAAATGGTACTGTAGAACTACAGTTCCATTTAGAAAGCAATTACAATATATAAAGATAAAGATTCACAGAATTTAGTTTTTCAATAGAAATATGGATGATGACAGAATCAAATATCATTTCCCCTTTCTACAAATATGTGCTTTCATGTGTAATTTCATATTCAAAAGACCATAAAAACAACAAAAGCCATAGCATGGACTCATCAAGCTCAGTTGAGCTATACATGGATGGTATAAAATGAATATCCTAATTGGAAGGGATGATCTCTTTTGCATCTTAAAAAATGCTTTCCTCTCCACAATACAAAAGCATACAATAAGATAATCCTCTAAATAAACCAAACCAAAAGGACAATATAACTGAAAAACACATACTTATAAGCATAATAAGTAACCACCTAAATATCCCACTCAAAGGGCCCCTGTGTAGGGACTCCTTAAACAATATTAAATTAAAAAAAATCGAGATTGACAAACTCTAATGTCACATTTGTCAGCTAGACTTAACTGCAATCACCTGGCCAATAAATGTGTAATGTTGACCTTGAATAAGTTATTGAGGAATTGCTACACAACAAGAACATTTTTTCCCCCGGTGAGAAGTAAAGAATATCAAAAGAGAATGATTTGTCTAATTATAATTCCTCGTGACAGACGATGGAACTCTAACAAAGCAAGGTATATGATTTCTTTCCCCACCATGCCATATGACCAAAGTAAATCAACAAAAAAAATAAATATATATACATTTTGTTGATGATTCTTTCGCGACTATCAGGTTGCAGCTGAGCCCTCCAAACTGTGAAAGAGTATCCAACATGAGCAAGCGTCCAATTATTTATACTCAAAATTGTACACAGAGTTATTAATAACAGATTATATAAATCCAATCTGACTGGAGATGAAAAGACATCAGTAGCATAGTTACATGCGCATAAGACAATAAAAATAACATAAATAGATATTATAGATTCGCAACGGATACAATTAAACTATATATCAAATCAAAACTGTAATAAGTTATTATAACAGAAAAGCACTTCTGTCAAAGAAAAAATTACATTGCAGATGTACAAAATTTGGATGGTATTCAAATTAAAGACATAAGATATTGTTTGAGATTAAAATTAATGGAAAATATCATATAACTTAGCAAACTTTCTATATATAATAGCAGCAAGTTGAATATTTGTTAGAGAAAAAAAATGGCTGAATAACTACGCATACTGTCTGAGTAAACCCTGAAAGCATTCATCCGACACATTGTGTTAGAGGTCTTAAGAGTTAAAAACTTCCAAAAGCTAAAGTGGGTCAGTAAATGAATCTGATGGCATAATATTGATCTTGATGTTCTGGGACTTACGATTATGATAACTATCAATTAACTGCATCATTGAAGATATTCTCTGTAAATAATCCTCCTGGAATTAGGAAATATGAGAAATTAGCACCACAGAAATCATGACAGGGTAAAAAAGTGGCCCGCTGCTAAAAAATGAACCTGTTAAAACAGTGTTTTACGTTTGGAGGTATGGGGTGAGGGACAGAAGTTACAAGCAATGACATGAAAATTCCAAAGCTAGGAGGAAGAAACACCCCCCAAATCCATCCAAGATTCATCCATCAGCATGGATGAACATAAATTATTAAAATAACAGAGATTACACAGTATTGGTGTACCTCGTTTGCTGCACCAGCATAAGTCTTCTGCTCAAAACTTTGAGCAATTTTTTGAACTTCAATCAATTCATCATCATCAGCATGAGACATAGGCGTCTTTAATTTAATCATTCTACAAAATGAAGAATGGTTTTACAAAAATATGGCATCAAGATGTTGAGGAAAAACAATGCTTAACTGAAAAAGCATGATCATTACGTAAAAGTCCAGCCCCTTCATTTTTTTTTCTGGGAAAAGAAATGCTAGGAAAACAGACTATCATCTGGAGTAGGCTGTGAAAGACTTGAGTCATCATCCTGGCACCTGACAATCATAAGCTTCTTCCTTCTCCCAAATCCACTAAAAAGACTAAACGAGAAATGTTCCAAATTCCTAGTTAATTCCCAAGATAGCTCCTTTCCCGTGGATAATGATATATCTTCCGTGATTAAATTGATATATGTTATTTTTTAGCGATGAAATAAATTTAATCCTCCATAACAAACAAGGGGGATGTTATGATAACGTTGATAGTTAACAGAATTGACAGGTGGAAGCAGATACTACTCAGATCATCTTATTATGATATTTTTTTGGAGCAAACAGATCATCTTATTAATTAAATGGAGAATTTGGGCCTACATTTCATTGACTTTTATTTGGCGAATATGAGGCAGCAGCTGAGCCCTCCAATCATGTGTATCCATAGTAGGGTCTGCACCTTGAGGAGATTTCCAATGATCGAACCTATTCAATCCAAATCAGAGAAGGTACCGAAATTTGACCAATTAAATGAAATCAAGCTTTAAAAGCAAACATATAAATTGATCAGGCACTTTTAAACAAGTCAATAGAAACTACTGGCTTATTAAGAAAATAATGGACTTAAGATCGTAAATACTCTTGCGAAAACCAAAACCCACATTTACAAAAAAAAAAAAAAAAAGGTTTGGCACCTGATATCAGCTCGTGTTCATAATTCAGCAAATTCCTCAAGTGAACAGACGAGATAGTATGATGTGAAAATGAAATTCCCCATCCTCATCTTTCATGGCCATGACTAGTACTATTCCTAATGCATCATACACCAAAATCGTTTGGAATATGTTTCTTTTCCGTTAAAATAAACTAGCACTTGATCATCCATCGTCTAGAGAACTGAGATTAGTTTCCCAGTACTTTCAAATTCTTCGCGAGTTGGAAAATATTTCACATATGCCAGCCGTAATGGAAGGTAAAGAGGTTCACCCAACTGATAACAAGTACTGGAAAAGCATGCTATAACGAATCAGAGAAATATAATCTCTCCCAAAGCAAAGTAGGATTACCGGAAGTCAACGAGTCGGGATGTGGATCCTCTCAGCGGCCTTGTTTCACAGCGTCCCTCGGCGGCTCAGTTTTGCCCCCTAGATCTGTAATCCAATATTTAATATCTTACCACATCATTTTATATTAAAATAATTTAATTTTTTCAAAAATAATTTTTTCTTTAGATTTTTTTATTTTCTATTTTCAAAACTTATTCTAAAAATTTATTTTACAGATTTTTGTAAAGAAACTTACTGGCTTATTTAAATTCTGGCCTAATCTATTTAATAAAAATTTATTTAAAAAAATCTACAAAATAAGCATTCAAATTTTGGCTTGACTTTGTTCTAAAATTTTTTTAAATTTTTTAGGCATATTTTTATTATGTAGGTCAGGCCAGAGTTTGAAAAAATTAAACTGTAGGTCTTTACTTAAATAAGTCAGATCAAAATTTAAATACTATAGGCTTACTCTGTAGATTTTTTATTAAATATGTTAAGCTAGAATTTAAATAACTTAAACTGTAGGTCCTGCACAAAAATATACAAAGTCATTTTTTGAAGTAAGTTTTGAAAATAAAAAATGGAAAAAACATTTAAGGAAAGAATTATTTTTTAAATTAAATTGTTTTAATATAGGATGATGTGGCAAAGTATGAAATATTGAATACAGATCCAAGGGCCAAAACTGAGACGCTGAGGGATGCTGAGAGGATTCAAACCCGTCTTCTTCGACGACGATTATAGGAGTGAGTTGACAGATTTTGATGAGAGAGTGGAGCGAAGGGTAAGGAGTCCTGTCTCTGCATTCACGCGGATCAATGCTTATACCAGTTTGGATAATCTTATTGATCAATTTCAGTGGTTAAAATTATGGATTTTTGTGAAAATATAACAAAACACACCTATGACATATTAAATTAAAATTAATTATACACCTAAAATCATGTTTTATTTTTAAATATTCAAGCATTAATTGCACATGCCAAAATCAGTTTTAAACCCAAAACCATATATTTTAAAAAAAATTCAAACACCTTTATATATATCAAAATCAATTATAAACTCAAAAATATGGGACTTGTTTAAAATTATTTTTATTTTATTATTTTAAGAACTGATATTTTGTAGAACATGTTTAAAAATAATAATAAAACTAGGTGTTTTTCTTATTCTCTTTTATTCTTTAAAATAATAATCCCCAAACATTTAAAAAATATTTTTATTTTTCTACTCTTTAAAATAATATTTTATTTTTTGTTCTCCAAAATAGTTTTTTAAAAACATGTTACTAAATAGATCTTTTTATTTTGTTGTTCTGAAGAATAAAAAAAATTTTTCATAACAGGTGGTCAAACATGTCCATGATTTGTAAAATAATTTATATGATTTTTGAATAAATTTTTAAAAAAGTAAAATTGAAAATATGAATTGAAAAACAAGTTGTCGCACCTGAAAATGCGACGCGGACAGCGCGAGAATGGAGGTTCCGGCTTTCGAAAGGAAGACCGAGGAAATGGGAGTCGCTACCAAGATTTTGAGAAAAACCTCGAAAAACTGTTTAAAGGTGGATAAGGACGGTCTGCGAAATCAGAGAATAGGTTTAGAAGTCGGTTGAGTGTAGGGAAGGTGTTAGGCACCCCACAACACCTGTTCGTGAGAACGGTTATCTAAAGTTTGTTGTGCTATGTTAATATGATTTTAAAATTATTTTAATTATTCTTTTTATATTCATGTGTTTGACATAAAAATGATAAGAATTAAGTGAGAAATATTTATTTATTTACAGGGAGGACTTGACTCAGAATCTGACTCTAAAGCCTACGTACCCTGTGATAGGGATCAAAGTCCACGTAGTTTGGGCTTTAAAATTGTTGGTAACAATATATTTTTTGAAGAGAAATTAATTAGAAATAATTCACCAATTTGCAAATAAAACAATTTTTAAAATCTTGATATGTGTGTTTTAACTTACAAAAAGTAATTTAATTTTAATTATTTCTCAATTTTTTGAATTTTTGAAAAAGAAAAGGGTTTAAAATTTGTTTTTTTATGTTTTATGATTGGAAATTTAATCACAGTTCCTGCAAAGCCTTATTGACTCATACAATAATGCAATCAATCTAAATATCTGTGGATATTTCAAAATCTCTCACGATAAAAAAATTAAATTTATTTATATTTTTGAGTGTATAATTTATATATATATATATATATTAAAAAACTTAATCGTTATATCTGTAAAGTCTTATTGACTCATACAATAATACGATTATCTTAAAAATCTATCAAAATTTAAAAATCTCACATGATTAAAAGATATAATCGGTAAATATAATTACCATTTAAATGCATTAAGTTGACTAATTAATTTTTCTAAATTGTGTATTATATTATTATTTACAAAAATCATTTATTTATCATAAAAATTGAGAAATACTTTATCTGTAAGGACTTATTATTCCACACGATAATGTAATTAATTTAAGTTCTTACGAAGATTCTTGAAATCTCTCATGAGACTTAAATATTTTATTGATTATAATTAATTTTGATGATGATTCTTTGGAACCCATATTATTATACAAAATTGATCCTCATACCTGCAAAATCTTATTAATTTTCATGATATAGGATTATTTTAAATTTAAATGTCTGTAGGAATTCTTGAAATCTCACACTGTAAATAGATTTAAATATTATTTATTAAGAATTTTACAACCAACAAATAATTGTGAAGCTTATAGTCAGAAATAATTTCAATGATAGCCTAAAACATGCAAAAGGACAAGGAGAATCTCAAAATGCATAACTTGGTACAATGCCACATAAAATAAATCATGTGATCTATATAAATTTTGAAATTTCCTAATTACTCTATTAATCCCACAGATTAAGCTTTGAAGAATGAACAAGTAAAATTATTACCCGTTTGATACTGAGCCATTACTCTCCATGTCATCACCTTTCATCTTCACCTTCCATCTAATCCATTAGCTTCTCTCTCCTCCTCCTTCTTCATCATTTTCATCTTCTTCTCTCAGTTCATTTCCATCTCAAAAATCCGGAGCCAAAATCACGAGTCCTCTCTTTTTCTCTTTCGGTTAGCTCTTTTCATCACTGAAGCTACCCTCCTCTCTTTTTTTTCATGCATGTCTAGCCCCTTTTTTCGTTTCCTTTTTTTCTCTTTGCTTTCTCTGTTCTTCATCTATGTTGTGTGATCCTTGGTACTCTGTTTTTTTCGTCTAGTTTTCAGTCTCTCCCTCTCCTCTTTTTTTGCTCTATTTCTCGTTCATTTTTTCAGTCTCTCCCTTTCCTCTTTTTTCTGCTCTGTTTCTCGTTCCTCTGTCTCTATCTCCTACACTCGGTCACTGCTTTCTCTCTCTCTCTCTCTCGGTGTCACTTAGTGTATAAAAAGTTGCATGCGTGCTGCGTTTTGATGCTTTGTTTTTCTTTCCTTATTTCTCCCTCTCGGTCTCTCTCTTCTTTTTCCCCGTCTCTTCTCCATCTTGCTCGTCCTCCTCATTATTTTTTTCTCCAGACTCTCCTCACCTTCTTGGTCTCTTCCCTCTTCTCTTCGTCTCTAGTCCTTCTTCGTCTCTGCTCCTCGTGATCTCTGTCTCTATCCAAGCTTCTCGTGCTGTTTTCTTTGTCATTCTCGTTCTCTCTTCTGATCTTAGCCTCTTCTGCTCCAAGGCCTGATGCATGCGTATGCATGCTTCCCTCTTCTTTTAGTCTCTCTTTTCTTTTCTCTCTGTTTCTTGACCAGTTTCTATCTTCTCTCTTTCTCCTCTTCGTCTTTATTTTTTTCCATCTCTCCCTCTCTTTAGAAGAAAAAAAGCTCTTTGCCCAGAATCAGCTCTCCTCTCCTCAGTCTCTCGTGCCCTCTCTTATATTCAAAACCAAAAGAAGGAAAAACAAAACAACTTACCTTTCGTGTGGCCGAAAACATGCTCTGCTCTTCGTTCTTTCACGTGCCTGGCAGGCTCTGCCTTTTCAAGTGCTTCTCTCGTCCGACTGTGGCTGTGTGTGTGTGTGCGCTTCCCTTTTTTTTGTTCTGTCATGTCTCCTTTGATCTTGCCGAAAAGGTTTGAGTCTTTTGGCTCTGTGTGTGTGATTCCTTTCTTTTTTTTTGTTCTGTCTTTTCCTGTATGCTTCTGCTTCCTTTCCTTTTCTTTCTGTAGCGTCTGGTATTCGTGTGTTCGCTATGCACGTTTGCTTCTCCTTAGTCTGCTACTGTGTTTGCTTGCTCTGTGCTCAAGCTTCGTGCGTGCATGTCCCTTTTTTACAGCCATTCTTTGTTTTAATGCTTTTTTTCTTCTTTTTTTATTATTAATTAGATTAAGGGAGAGAAAGAAAAGTCTAATTTTAATATATATATATATATATATTTAAATGGAAAACAAAAAGATTTAAGGAAAGAAAATTTAAAAATAGTTGAGTATCAAAAAAATTGATTCCCAATATTTTAAATGGTTGGAATAATTTAGGAGAGATTTTAAAAGGTTTGAATAAGATTTTTTTTATTTTGTTAAAATTATTATTTTTAAATATAATCCTAAAAAAAAGATTAAATTTTATTTTTATATTTTTATATTTTTTTGGTTATTTTAATGAACTAAAAGAAATAAAATCCTAACTAAAAAAGATTATTTAAAATAAAATTAAGCCCTATCAATTAATTTAATTTTTTTGTTTTGAAAATATAATACTAAAAAGAATTAAATTTTATTTTTATTTTTTATACTTTTTTATTATTTATTATTAAATTTAAAAAATGCTCGGACAAAATACGGTGTTCACACAAGTGATAGTACCTTATCATATAACCATAGTTTTGAGTTGATAATTAATTTTGGCATGTATAAGAGTGTTTGAATATTGTTAAGAAAACCATGATTTTCTGTTCATAATTGATTTTGGCATATATAATGAGTGTTTGATTATTTTTTGGAAAACATGATTTTTTTATCCATAATTGATTTTAATATGTATCAAAAATAATTGGATATATTTTCACAAAATCATGATTTTACTTCTTTTCAAATTTTAATTCTACTTTTTAATTCTGATTAAAATCAATCTTATTAATTAATTTTATAAATCAATTATATACCACATAATATAATTAATTATATTCAAAATCAATCATA